ACCTCAACCCCCCCAATCGCCCCCGCCATATCCACCACCGCCGCACCCCCGCGCGTAGCAAGATACAGCCCCTCCTCAACACTCAAGACCTCGTCACCATCACTCCCGCCAGCAGCAGCACCAGCACCAGCAGCAGCAGCAGCAGCCCGACTATGCCGCAGCAGCCTCGAAACAAGACACCCCTGCCGCACCGCCTCCAGCACACTACAATGATACCCACCGCTCACATCCGTGCCCAGCCCGACCTCCACCCCGGCCTCCAGCAGCGCCCGCACGGCACAAATCCCCGACCCCAGCGCCGAATTCGACGCGGGACAATGCGCCACCTTGGCGCCGCGCGCGGCGATCAGCTCCCGCTCCGCAGGCGTCAGATGCACCGCGTGCGCGAGGATCGTCCGCGGCGTCAGCAGCCCGACGTCGTCGTACACGGACGTGTAGTCCCTGCTGGCGGGGAACAGCTCGCGCACGAGCGCGAGCTCGCCCGTGTTCTCGGAGAGGTGCGTCTGGATGTGCAGGGGCGGGTCGTAGCTGTGCGCTAGCTGGGCGAGCCCGCGCAGGGCGGGCGCGGAGCAGGTGGGTGCGAACCGCGGGGTGAGGATGGGGTGGATGAGGGTGCCGGCTGGGTCTAGGGAGCGGATGTGGGCGATTGTTTGTTGGGTGTTTGTGAGGGAGGAGGCCGGGGAGGAGTCGGCGTAGTAGGGCGGGCAGAAGGCGGGGTTGTCCATGCAGACGCGGCCGATGAGGGCGCGCTGGCCGCGGGCGTGGCAGAGGGAGGCGAGGAGGTTGGTGGCGGGGACGTGGATGGTGGCGAAGTAGGAGGCGCAGGTGGTGCCGTTGGCGAGGGTGCGGGCGATGACGCGGGAGTAGACGGTGCGGGCCTTGGATGTGTCGCTGAAGGAGGATTCGAGGGGGAAGGTGTACGTCTCGAGCCAGTCGAGGAGGGTGGAGGAGCCGAAGATGCCGGAGTTGGGGTATTGGGGGGCGTGGATGTGTGTATCTGTCACCGTCAGAGTTTGCATGCGTCTAGGGGACGAGGGTCATACCGATAAAACCGGGGAAGAAGAACTCATTCCGCTCCTCTCTTGCTCGAATCACCTCCGTCACTGTCCCGCTCAGCCCCGACTTCTCCGTCAACGCCTCCACGTCTCCATCCACTGGTGAGAAAGACCAGTCATATCCCGCGATCTTCCCGTCGGTATTCGAAACCCATAATGCGCCGTGATGGATCTCGAGCGCGGGTCTCCATTTTGCGTCTGACTCCACCCCAGTAGGTTTGCGGGGGAGATGGATGAATGTTCCGAGGAACAAAGTGTACGTAGGGGCCATAGCCAGGTACGAGCGCAGTGCAGCAGCACCGCAAAGTTATGTACACTTATCGATGAAGATGTCACTGACGTACGTCAATCCTTTATCATTGGCGCAAGGAGAAAAGTCCTGATCATGTTAGCTCGTTCTTCATGTTCCCGTGGTCATTTCTTACTATAGTGATATAAACTTCAAACTCGGTATATGTTTAGCTTGCAAGAACCATAGTAAAGCAAGCAATCTGACTCAACGGCTCAACACCAGGGACACTGGTCAAGGTCTAAATAGAACTGAAACCAGGACTCCTATCGCAACAAAGCCAGGTGGATGTTGGGGTAGACGGGCAGAACCGGCCAATCGCGGCGAGAGAAGAGTTCCCCGTGGTCGGAGGGCGGCCGGCTCCGATGCCTCAGGTACCCACTGGAGCGCCAAGAGCATGTGACGTTGATGATCCGATAAGATAAGCATTTACAGATACACGCAGTAATAATTGTGATGCTGATTGATATTGATTGCTATGCTAGAACTGCGTTGAGCAGTCGCAAACTGGTATTAACACGCTATTTTTCGGCTGCCGGAGCTGCTGGCTGCCAGTCTAAACAAACCACAACGCCCATCCCAATGTCTATCATGACTTGTTGAATTCGAATCATGCCGCTCATGCCACCGTAAATGCCTCAAGGCTGTGTTGAAGGTCCAAGTAAAACTGAAATACCAGAAGAATATTGAAACATGGGTATCATTTTAATCCGTCTCCTCCACCGGGCCGCAGGTGCAAAACAGGTTCTGATCACCGTATGCTATGAATGAATTAGCTTCGTTCTCTTGGTAAAAAAAGGAAGACTCACCATCATCCACTCGGGTCACCGAGGGCCAGAACTTCTTCTCCACCAAATATGGAAGGGGATACGCCGCAGTCTCCCGCGAGTAGGGACGGCTCCACTCGCTCGAGAGCAAATCGCGCTGCGTGTGAGGGGCGTTCTTGAGAACGTTACCCTCACGGGGCTGCTCGCCGCTCTCGACGGCAGCAATCTCCTTGCGAATGGAAATGAGCGCATCACAGAACCGATCTAGCTCCGCCTTGTTCTCCGACTCGGTGGGCTCGATCATGAGAGTGTTGGCCACAGGCCAGGACATGGTGGGGGCGTGGAAGCCGTAGTCCTGAAGACGCTTGGCAATGTCGATGGCCTCGACACCGCAGGTATCCTTGAACTTGCGCACATCGAGGATGAACTCGTGGGCGCAGCGACCGTTGTCGTTGGTGTAAAGAATGGGGTAATGGGGCTTGAGACGGGAGAGGATGTAGTTGGCATTCAGGAGAGTGATCTTGGTGGCATGGGTCAAACCCTTGGCACCCATCATGTTGATGTAGTTGAAGGTGATGGGAAGAATGCTGGCGCTACCCCAGGGAGCGGCGCTGATTGGGGGCGAAGAGGTGTCACCACGCTTGGATTGCAGGTAGTCGCTGGCCGGGTGCGAAGGCAGGAAAGGACGCAGGTGCTCCGCAACGCCAATGGGACCCACGCCAGGACCACCACCGCCGTGGGGGATGCAGAAGGTCTTGTGGAGGTTCAAGTGGCACACATCGGCACCGATCTCACCGGGCGAGCACAGACCAATCTGCGCATTCATGTTGGCACCGTCCATGTAGACCTGTCCGCCGTGCTGGTGGACAATCTGGCAGGCCTCCTTGACACCCGGCTCGTACACACCAAAGGTGCTGGGGTAGGTGATCATGATGGCCGCAAGCTCATCCTTGTGTTTCTCGCATTTGGCCTTGAGGTCGGCCAGATCCAAGTTGCCGGTCTTGGTGTCGCACTTGATCGAGACCACGCGCATACCAGCCATGGCAGCACTGGCGGGGTTGGTGCCGTGAGCCGAGACGGGGATCAGACAAATATTGCGCTTCTCGCCTCCGTTGGCTTCAAGGTACTTCTTGATGACACGCAGACCAGCAAACTCGCCTTGCGCACCAGAGTTGGGTTGCACGGTGATCTCGGCCATGCCGGTGATGTCCGCAAGCTGCTGCTCAAGATCATCGATCATCTGCGTGTAGCCCTTGGCCGTGTCGGCGGGCATGAAGGGATGAATCTGGGAGAACTCGGGCCAGGAGACGGGGATCATCTCGGTGGTCGCGTTGAGCTTCATCGTGCAGGAGCCAAGAGGGATCATCGAGTGAGCGAGGGACAGATCCTTGGATTCGAGGTGACGGATGTACCGCAGCATTTCGGTTTCGGAATGGTGGGTGTTGAACACGGGGTGGGTGAGGTAGGGGGAGGTCCGTTCCAGGTTGGCGGGGATGGACTTGATGCCAATCTCTTCAGATAGTTCGACCTCGCCCTTGCCGGCGTGCTTGGAGAACACCTGCAGCAAAGATCTGATCTCCTCGCGACCAACGGTCTCATCAACCGAGATACCGACCTTGGTGGAAGACACGCGGCGGAGGAAGATGTTCTGCTCGCGAGCGGCCGCAATGAGGGCGTCGGCCTCTTGGCTGCTGGCAAATTCAACGGATAGAGTGTCAAAAACGACACCGCCCTTGACGGGAACGTTGTAACCCAGAGCAGTCAGCTTCTCCTGCAGAGTCGAGGTCATGGACATGACACGCTGGGCGATAGACTTGAGGCCAACCGGACCGTGGTAAACGGCATACATGGCGCTCATGTTAGCAAGCAGAGCTTGGGCCGTGCAAATGTTGCTGGTGGCCTTTTCACGACGGATGTGCTGCTCGCGGGTCTGCAGAGCCAATCTCAACGCACGGTTGCCCAGACGGTCCTTGGAGACACCGACGACACGCCCAGGAACCTTGCGCTTGTACTTGTCGGCGCAGGCAAAGAAAGCAGCGTGAGGACCACCGAATCCCATGGGGACACCAAATCGCTGAGCATTACCGAAAGCAATATCTGCACCGAACTCACCCGGAGCCTTGAGGACGGTCAATGCGAGCAGATCGGTAGCAACGCTGAAGGTACCACCAGCGGCATGGATGTTGTCGCTCAGGGCCTGGAAATCATACACACCACCCTCGGTGTCGGGGTATTGCGCGAGAACACCAATGAGATTGTCACCCTGCTTCTTCACCAGCTCAAAGTCGTTCGCCATGATGTCACCAACAACCAGGTTGATTCCGAATCCCTCAGCGCGAGACTGCATCACCGCAATGGTCTGAGGGTGGCACAGATCAGACACAACATACGCCTTGCCGGGCTTCTTCTGCTTAGCCATGGGGAGGGTGGCCAGAGACATGGTCATGGCCTCGGCAGCGGCGGTGGCCTCATCCAGGACGGAGGCATTGGCGAATGGCAGGCCGGTCAGGTCGGCGGTCAAGGTCTGGAAGTTCAAAAGCGACTCCAGACGGCCTTGACTGATCTCAGGCTGGTAGGGAGTGTAGCTGGTGTACCAGGCGGGGTTTTCCAGAATGTTGCGGAGGATAACCGGGGGAACAATAGTGGGGTAGTAGCCAGTTCCCAGGTATGTCTTGCCAGAGATGTCAATCTGCTTGCGGTAGGTCTCAAGCAGCTTCAGCATATCCGTCTCTCCCAAGCCACCGTGTACACTGGAGCGGGGCAGGCTGAGGTTGGCGCTGGGAGGGGTGACTGTGAGGTCTTTCTTGGACAGAATATCGGCGGGAAGCACCTGCTTGACGAATTCATCCAGAGATGCTACCGGGGGGTCCAGCGCGGCGAGCATCTCCTGGGCCGCCTCGGGCGAGGGGCCAATGTGACGGCGGGGGAAAGTGTCAAGGGGTTGGAAGAGATCGCGGGGATGAGGGTCGCCATGGTCAGCTACGGAGCTGGTATAAACTGCCCGTCGTGAAGCTGGCGCTGCTTGTGTGGTAGTGTTGAGAGAACGGCGAGTGGCAAAAACTGGCGAGGGAGAGGCCTTTCGCAGGGAGATTGAGGCAGGAGAGGTACGCAACCGCGTACGAAGGGCAAGCTGGCGAGTGCCTCGGAGGGCGCACCAGGATGCAGCCATGCCTGAGGATAGAAGAAGTCCAATGGACTGAGGCGGAATGTCCAGAGGAGTGGAGAGAGGTATGTCGTCAGAGGTTGGTCTCACGACTCGGCCAGCTCAACACATGAACAGGGATGAATTGGGACCAGAATTGAGATGGAAAGAAGAGAAGAAATAAAAGAGGTCATCGGAAGAAGAAAAATAGTCCAGCACGAGATTGACCGTCATAATTATTTCTGCTCAATGTGTCCGACGAGAAGACCGCGGACGATAACAACCGACGGCGGGAAACTCTCCCTCATCCTCCGACATGCTGATAACACTGATGTCCGGGCCAATCACCGTCTGATTACACATCCACCCGGCGCGTCTACGCGACTGATAAGGAGTTTTCCGCGGGAAACCCATCGCAGCAGGAAAGCAAGGGCTCATTTCAATGATGCGACGAGGGAATTGTATTACTATTGTCAATATTCAAGCTTTTACTCAACTCAAAATTGAGCTAGACATGAAGAATACCAGACCTCCACGTTGGATCTACTCGGTCGTGCAGAAGAACTGACCATCCAGCTTCCCGATCTCGATCCAGCTTCCCCGATGTATATCTGATTCTTCCCCGAGATCCTTTTCCTGCGGAGTTCTCCATAGGGAAATACGGGGATATCCAATGGACAACTACCAATGGGCAAAACCTGAGATTAGCCCAAAGAGACTACTACGGCATACAATGCAATCACCTATGAAATCAACTCATTCAGTCCAGAACAACAATTAGAACCATGAGGTGTCAAATATGTAGGGTGCTCTATGTGAACGGACTCAGACCATGTATCAGATATTATGTGCGCACCCATCTGCTTTCCCCTATACCTCCAAAATAAGTGCTATTCCATTGGCTTTAAGATCAACATATCCATGATCCTGGACACAAGAAGTCACTTCTCATAACTAGGCCACCTATCGACCAGAACTGAGAAGAGAGGAAACAGTGCAAATAAAATCCTCTGTTGTCATCTCCTTGCAGTCCATGAGGGCTTTGCAGTGTTCAACCTTATTCTTGACCTTGTCATACGCAGCTAAATCTTCCAGCTTGTTAGTCACAAATGTTTCCACTTCCTCTGTATCTTTATACTCATCCATGCGCTCGTCCCACCATTCAGCACCCCTATGCTTCCGCAATTGCATGCAAGGGAAGCTAAGCGTATCAAAAAAGCCGCTCAACAGGAGCATATGGAGCCACATGGCTCCTGAGTCTTCGGACCATTTGATGAGTTCAGAGAGTTCTTTCCCTTGATTTCCAGTCGTCTTTGCCTCTTCTTCCGCCAGCACACGCTTAAAGATTTCCAGACATTCGAAGTAGCGATCAGTGGCTTTCGGAGCCTCTCCTCTTCGAAGTCCCACTCGTCGTTAATTGGGCGATCCAGAAGGAGCCACCAAGGAGCCGAGGCAAATAACTGAGCTGGCCCGGCATAAACCCACTCGATATCTACTACCCCGGTGATTGTAAGGTCATCCTTACTTCGCACAATCACATTTGCTAGGCCAAAATCGTCGCAGATGAGTTTGAAAGGGCCTCGGTCGTAGATTGTATTGGTTAGTTCAGGTATTAGAGACTGTAGAACCTTCAACGACGCGTATCTCGATCTGGCACTCCGCGGGCCTGCAATTGAATTCAGTTGAAGTCGTAGTTGTTGCCAATCTTGGTTGTTCACATATTGGAAATATTCTCGAGTCGTAGAGAAACCCTCTTTTCGATCACCTATGGTTGTTAGTCAAGATCCCTATTTCAGGTCATAGCACGAACCAAAGGTATCGACACCTCCTACCCTCAGGATCTCGTGTACCTTTCACGTGAGTGGACGATTAGGCGCGGGAAATTTCGTCCTTGGGGTGGGCAAGCTGCCAATCCGTTCGAAATCGATCTTGAAAAGCTGCAACATAAAGCGCGCCATCTGCCTGTAGACGTATTCGACATCGGCATCAGGAATTTCTTCCTTAAGCAGTCTCGAACCGCCGGCGCCAAACACGTCATTAAGACAGACGCCATCGATAAAGCTCATCAGCATGAAAGGACCCAGACCAAGTTGGTTTTCCTCTGAAAATCCTCAGGCGTAAATTTCTGGGACGGGTACGGACGTCTTCTCCCGGATAAGGTGAAGGGCTTCCACTTCCATAGCCACCTTCTCGTCTGCATATTCTGGAGAAATGCTGCTAGCTCGAGGGAGGCGAAGAAACCAGGTTGTCCCATCGTCAAAGGCAAGCTTCTGGCCAAGGTTGTATGGACCGTTCAGGAAACCTCCATCCAGCCGGCATGAAAGATTTTTGGGATGGAAACCCTTGGCCCAGTTGCAAAGACGTCCGTCCACGCGAGCCAGGTTTACTTTATTGACCCAATCAGATTCTTCCGCCATGTGAAGAAGGTCGAGAGGTTTATTGTAGTCCATGACGGGAAGATTGTCTCTGGGGTACAAAGCACAGAACGAGAAATGTGTTTGTCAGACAGAGAATCAAGGAGCACATGTGTGGCTGGCAGGGATGGCGCAGTGGCCGCTTTTGTCTTTTAAATGTGGTAATGTGATTTGTTTACAGACCGCTATCATTGTGAGGGGAAAAAGGACAGTGCAAGACACCAGAACAGAGGTATACCTAGATACACAGATCGTTTCTCCTTCAGCTGACGCAGCGAACTGTGGGACAACATATCAGGAATTTACATACGGTTCAGCCAATCCATGTTCGGCCATAGGCTGGTATTGGTTGTATACAAAGCTGTCCTCAACCGCCGAGTTCTAACCATCATTTACTGAGGAGCCTCTCAGTAATGCAGAAGGGATGACTGCGTTCCATTCGAAGTAGTTGTTCTAGATCGAGGTATAACGCTTCGAAACAAGCATTGACCTGGCTTTGGACCATTTTCATGCTAACTTATGGGGCAGATTCTTGACCTCGGATCAGACTAGACCACAATGATATGCACGAATTCCAACATTTTCAGCTATTAGCGCATTCAGATCACGTTATGAACTCCTATCTACATCGGACTCGAACTCAATGTGTTAAGGATGGGGAGGAGTCAGATACTTTGAAAAGAGGCCAGATACAAGCACAAACGGAATTCAGTCCGTCCCTCTGATACAAATAGTGATTCTGAGTGAGGCTGGACTGAGGAGCAGATGTCAACAGGTGTGAAGAGGCCCTGGTACATTTAGCACGATCAAAAGCACAAATAGTAGGCAGTCTTAACACACCCTAAGATTGCATGAGTTCTAAGCCAGAGGCACCAGACGAAAATCAATCACCTTATAGGATGTACTCCAAATCCTAAACCCCCTTCTCACTCATCTCCCTCTCTCTCCCCCCAGCATCCCGAATCCGATACCGATACCTCCGAAGCCCCTCCTCGCAGCTCCCACAATAAACCCTCAAATACCCCACCCCAACACACTCCCCGCACCGCTCAAACGCAATCCCCTCCCCATCACAACTCCGACACTGCACCGAGATGCAGGGGACATGGAACTCGCCGCGCGCCTCGTCGCCGCCGCCCTCGGTCTCGAAGACGCCGCGTTTGCCCAGGCAGGAGGGGCAGGGGTGGGTTGTTGGGCAGGTGGTGCAGGGCATTTGACCTTGGCTTCGCTGCCACTTATTGAGGGGTCTGAGTTGGTGGTTGTGGTGGTACGTAGTTATAACTTATGGAGGTTTGGAGGTGGTGGGTGGATGGTGAGATGGTGGATGGGTTGTAGTGCGGGGTATGATGGTCTTATGCTATAGAAGCTGTACTGTGCTAAGCTTCTAGCTGATTTGTATGATGACAGGCGGCTGCATGACTACTGACGATTTCCAGCTGGCACCTTAGTAAGGGACTACCGCTAGGGCTTGTTATAGTATGCAGGGTATGATGTATGCTTCAGGCAAAGGATAATATCGCAACTAGCCAGACGTACTTGTCTTGTGCAGTTACAGGATGAAGTTTATTAAACATTGCATTACTACGTGAAGAGCTATATCCACCAGTCCAATCATCCATCAATTAGATCGTATACCGAAAGTCAGCCGCCCCCTCGATAATCCGCTGTCCACGGTCCGCCTGCTTATTGCAGATGCGGAACCACAGACTCATAGCCGCCACGATAATCAGAATCAGAATATTGCATCTGCAGCAGTCAGTATTGCTCCTAAGGAAAGAAAGGGAGGGGCGTACCCGATAGTCGTCCACATGCCCGGCCGATATCCCGGCGCATCCTGGGACCGGAACACCAGACTGCTGATGATCCCGCCGATACCACCGAATCCCACCAGCGTCGCGCTGGAGAGCGCTCTGGTCCACTGGCCGCGGATATTGTTGGCCTGGTACGCCATGATGGCGGGGATGTTGGCGTTGGCGCCCGCCGTGGCGAGGAAGACGCCAAAGTAGCGGACGGCGTTGTTGGAGTGGAAGCCCAGGATGGGCAGGCCGATCAGGCACAGGATGGAGTTGAAGGCGACGAGCACGCCTCGCACGCGGTACTTGTCGCCGATCCAGGCGGAGGAGAACATGACGATGCCGGCGAAGGCGAAGGGGGGTGCGATGAGGCATTGGGAGGCGCCGACGCTGTAGCCCATGCCTTCTTGGAGAATGATGGGGAGGAAGTACGCGATGGCGTAGGTGACGGTGGTTGTGCAGCTGCGTTGGTCAGTGGGTGGGAGTGGGCTGCTGGCGGACGTGGACTTACAGGAAAACCATTGCGAAGCCCCAAATCTTGAGGTCAAGCGCGGGGCTAAGGAAGCGTCTTAGAGTGAAGGGCTCATTATGAGCATCGGACCGGTCCCGGTTGATGCGCCGGACGATGAAGGCGCATTCCTTTTCGCTGAGGAATCGCCAGGAGTTGTGTGCGCGATCAGGGAAGTCAACGAGGAGGAGAAGGGTCAAGACCCCAATAACTCCGGTGATCTATGCCATCAGTACTTGCATTAGGACTTTGCGGGGTCTACTTACCACACCCTCCATGATAAAGATCCATCTCCAGCCTCCCAGGCCCTGGATACCGTCCATTTGAGACAAGCCAAAAGCGAGGATACCCGCCAGGGCCGAGGCAACACATCCAATGAGGTAGAAGACCGAGAAACGCTTTTGGACGTCGTCTATTTTCAGTCAGCACCGGCCATTCGGGGCAAAGAGCGACACTTACATCTGACATACCAACTGGAAAGCAGGTACACACAACCGGGAAAGTAGCCTGCTTCCAGAAGGCCAAGCAACAAACGGCATACAACCATTTGCTTCCAATATTTCGTGAAGCCCATGCCCTGTCTCGCGGTTAGGCTGGTGCTCCCTCGACCTGAATGGGAAACATACGACCAAGATTGCGCCCCATGAGATGACAATAGTCCCCAAGAAGAATGTAGGGCCTAGCTTTCTCGTGATGACCGTCATGGCGGGTTGGAAGATGACATAGGGGACGAAGAATATAAGCACAATGACGGACTATTGAGTCAGTTTCAGGTCTTTGGTTATTGAGACGTCGTCAACTTACATATCTCGTTCCGATATACAACCCCAACTCCTTGAACATACTGCTCAAGTTAGTATCATTCGAGGGCATCTGAGGTAATCGAAGGCTTCATACCCCGCCACAGCAGCCATGCTGAGATTCGTCCTGTCCATCAGCGAGATGCAGTATGCGAGACCCGTCATGGTGACCAGACGCCGGTCAACGCGGTGGATGATCTTGCGCTGCTCTTCGTACGAGTATTCCTCGTCATAGTCTATGTCGTTGAGGGCGCGCTGGCCGACATCTTCGACATTTTCCACGCTGCCAGGCTTTTCGCTGGTAGGAGGTGACATTGTATGTTGATCTGGTTTCTGCTAATGAGGTTGAGCTGTCAAACTGTCAAACACAAGTTGATGATCAGAATTGCGGCCGTTAATTCTCAGATCGACGGGACAGGACACAGATAGATATAAGTTGTAGCATCTCAACACCCTTATGGTAGTCACAGAGCAAGATCTAGACGATTGCCCCTCCATCTAAACCACCCTCCGATCTGGCCAGCCATCAGCTGATCTGATTCGTCTGTGGAGAGTCAAAGAACTGCCGACAGAGCAACACAGAGCAATAGCCGACCTGGATTGACAAAATACCTCGGTCGCTGGCACTTGCGCCCCAGATAATTGCAGGAAACCAGAAATGCTCCACCATTGTCAGTTTTTCACCCCAGATTTTGCGCTGGGAAATGTGGAGGGGCGCGTTACAGGACGATCCGGAGAGGGCATGGATGCGGGGGAAAAGAGCCAACTGACATCAACACTGGCCCTTGGCAGCTTGGCGGGCTCAGGGCCAAGAGGTCTAGGTTAGCGATGAAAGTTACACGGTCAGCTGGAGCCTGAAGTTAGCAGTAAGATGAAAGAAAGTTTGGATGGATGCAAGAGCATAGAAGGTGCATGTCCATGGACAATAGTGAAAGCTTCTGTCCTACAGACTCCTACCTCATCCAGCATCCTGTACGACACCAAGTATACTATATCTGACTCAAACAACTCTTTAAACTCACATCTATTTCCATGGAAATTGCCACTCTACTAATGTCCTGTCTCCGCAATTACACAGTTGATGTGTTTTATCAAGTCCAAATTCCTCCACCATCACCATCACATCGCCATCTCCAACACAAGTATACAGAACTCCGTGTTCACCCGCGCCAACCTTCCAAGCCTAATGTGGCTGATTTAGGGGCTTGTGCTACCTCTCTCTGCAGCCTGCACCTTCTTTGTAGCTGTGTAGCTACTAGCTAACTAGGTACCTAGGTAAGGCAGCTATCTAGGCACCCTGTCCACTGTGCACCCATAAACTGGCACAATCCTGGTCTAGATACCAGCTCCATCAACCTTAATAATCGTCAATACCTGAATCAAAGCACACCTCCATTGGCCATTAATCTCCCCGACGGCTTATATTCCCTTGTCCTCATTCAAAGTCCTCGGGTCTTGGTCAGCCCAAACCACAGACACCCCACATAGTCAACTGGAGACTGAACGAACAAGCGAACCAGACTAGAGAGACCACGCTGCTGGGCAACTTGGCGCATTCTTGGCAACCTCGTAAATAAGCTCACTGCTGGTCAACTAGTATCTCATAGATAGATAGTCACCAAGGTCCTAGAACCAGGTAGAGTGGTTGGCGTTGGCAACCAAGATCAGGCAATCGCCCGACAGGATTACGCCTATGTCTACCCGTTCTGGTGCTTACCCCGGATTTTGCGATTTTGAGTTTTTCCTTGGAGGCTCGTCGCCGGGAATTTTAGGAGGGGTTCACTGTCCCATTGTCCACTTTATCCATTGTAAATAGCAGTGAATGGGTGATTGAGGGGAGCTAGCTCTGATTTCCGGCCGAGAGCTCAGCAGATCAGACACTGCGAAATTGAGTTTTCGATTTGAGTTTTAGTTAATACCTAGGTAGGACTAAGT